GTCGCTGAGTTTCAGCAACGCTGGCGCGCGTGGGCAGGTGGGCCCAAACGAATGGTGTCAGACCGTGGACTGCACAACAGGGGAGTGTTTCTGCAATGGGTTGCGTCAAGGGGATCGACCTCCGCGGCGCCGCAGTCGAGTCTCCCGATCAAAATCGCCGCGCCGAGAGACACGGTGGACTTTTGAAGAACATGTTCAAGAAGGTGGTGCACGACGAGAATGTTTCCGGACTCGATGAGGGCCTTTCTACTGCATCAGAAGTCGACGACGCGAAGAATGAGATGTCACGAGTCGGCGGATTTGCGCCTGCTCAGTCGGTGCTCGGAAAGGTGCCTCGCGTCCCAGGGAGTCAATTCGACGACGAGGAAGCTTTCGACTTAGGAGTGCATGCGAATGTTGCAGAGGTCGGAGCCGACGAGTTCTTTCGCCGGGCTGCGATCCAGGCATCTGCCAGGAAAGCGCTCGCAGACCGCGACTTCCTTTGCAGGGCGGCGAGGGCCGCTCTCCAAGAAGGCAACGCCATTAGCTGGAGAACCTCAGTTCGGTGATATAGCATTCTTCCGCAAGAGGCCGACTGACGGCGAGGTTGCCGCTAAGTGGAGCGCGGTTTTTCGTATCGATGGATTCGATGGCAAGACCGCATGGGTTATCGCATTGAGGTTGTGCCTGTCTGCGCGGCTGTCGACTGGCTTCGACCGTGTGCTGCGGCGGAAGCTTTGGCTTGCCAATGTCTCTCCAAGAGCCGTGACGGTGGCGTTAAGAGGTGTGTGTGTGTGTGTGTGCGTGTGTCTGTGCGCGTGCACCTCCAGACGGGCAACGGCAGTCATTCGTGGACGAAAGACGTGAACTGCCAGCAACACGGGCGCAAGGGCATTCCGCGCAAGAACATCCTATGGCGACGGGAGAGCTGCCGGGGGGCTCAGAAGACCCCGAGTTCATAGTGGAAGCATTTCGCCAAATTGCAGAAGATGTACTGTCGGATGGAGAGGTCGTTCCTGTGCCGCCCGCGTCGAGGCCGTCACAGGTGACTCAAGCGCCCCATCAGAGGTCGTTACTAGACGACGCCCCGCACGGTGTACAGAGTCGTAACGAAGTGATGCGCAGAAGAGTCGAGAATGCCGGTGGTGGCACGGGAAGGGTTCCCGATTCTGTCTCGGAGTCAGCTCCCGAGCCAGCGAATCCACTCTTGAGGCCATGCGCAGGGCCGGAATGTCAGGGCCTGGCACGGATGTTCTAGCTCGTAGAAAGCTTCACTTGCTGTCAAGCCACATGAATCGCTCGTCAGATTCGTCAATGCACGCACCGTGCAGAAGCCGCAATCGAATCATAAGCTAAAGAGTACAAAGAATATGGTATATCATCGGGAGTCTAAGGACGTTGAAAGCGGTGTGCGACTGGCAAGACAAGATGAATGGGAAACATGGCGGAAGTTCAACGCCGCCGTGCTGATTGATTCCGTGGGACTGCGCATTCTCTTTGATGAAGGATGCCGCATGGTACCTACGCAATGCATTGAAATCAACAAGAAAAACATCATCGTAGACCGGGTGGGCCTTCGGTTGCACCGCAGTACAGGAGTATACTTGTCGTGCTTGGAGATCTGGAAGAGCCGTTGGGTATGCACATGTATTCGCCAACATGCGAATTAGAAGGGCGAAGTTTGATCGCGTCATGGGCTGCCGGTACAAAGAAGACGCTCAAATGTGCCGACATTGCATTTGCGTATTTCCACTGGCAGGAACTCGACCGCCTCGTGCTGCTCAAGCCGCCGCCCGGCTGATCGCGCGCATGCCTGTCTGCGGCACGCGCGGCGCAGGGCGAGGTTCGTGGAAGAAAGTGCGCAAACGGTTTGAAGCTCGTGGTCCCAAGGAAAATCGTATCATGTCTGCTGTGTTCAGTATTCACAACGCAAGAACGAAATCACGTGCATGTTAGGCACACATGTGGATGACATACTGTGGGCTGCAGATCATGAAAGTCAGAGCATCATTTATTCGGTATTAGCAGAGTCTGAGATTCGCAAGATCAAGTCGGATAATTTCCTTCATTGCGGTTCCGAAGTTGTTCGTGATGAACGTTTCACGGCGAGTGTCGCGACCGAGGACAATATTGAGAAGGTCGAAGCTGCATCCTATCCTAGAGACAGCCCCTTCGCGAGAAAATGCAATGAGGGCGAGGCAGCGCAGCTTAGGTCGGTCGTGGGTCCTTTGTCATGGGTCACGCGTCAGTGTGAACCAGAGCTATTGCATGGCGCGATCAGACTGCAGACTGCAGCGCGTCACGGTAAGGCACCCCATCTCAAAGAAGCCGGCCGTGTGTTCGAAGAAGCAACTCAGCCCGCTGATTGCGGGCTAGCATTCAAAGGTGGAGCTGCTAGGTGGAGTCCAGCTATGATAGTTCTTACTGACGCCAGCTGGGCAGGAGAGGAGGATATCGTCAAGGGTGGGATCGTGCCTCTCAGGTCACATAAGGGCTAGGTTCAATGGGCTCGCAGGGCTTGGATCCATCGAGGGGAACAGTGATCATGATCACCTTGTATGTATCCCAAGTAAAGTTATCAAATCGGTATGTAAATTTACTTTCGCTACAAGCAGAGACCACGGCTTGCTTATATGGTGTAGAATCTGGTGTGCGCATTCGCGCCGCCATCGCAAATGCGCGTGGGATGCATGGCGCAGGAAAGAAGCCGCCAACCAACTGGGAAGACAAACCAGCCATGTGTATGAGACACGTACGGATGACATATTGCAACAGCCTTGAGGAACATCTCATGGCATCAACTATGGGTAGGACAGAAGATAAGCGTTTGAGTATCGATGTGGGTTGTTTCAGGCAGGGTATTTTGACGCATGGAACGGAAGAGGTCGAGATGTTACATCCACGCATGGTTTGTGATAAGATCAGATGGGCCGATACAAGTATTACGGCTGTTGATTGTCTGACGAAGAATATGCCTACGCATTTCTTGGTGAAGATCTTACGTACAAGTTCGTATGACGTAACTCCAGACCCTGAATCACCTTTACGAGGGTCGAGAAACAATTGGCGAGGGCCAGGGCGAATGCTTTCCCATCGGGGAAGTGAGTGACTGAGTCCTGGTTGCCTTGTTCTTGACAAATCCCAACATGGGAGTACTCCAGTTACTGCCCCCGAGAGGCTTACTGAGACCAGCGGTATTGCGCGGTCTGCCGGCTAGCTCGTGCCAGAGTTTCACGGGTGTGAGATAGTGCGTGTGCCACGTGTCTATATGCGCCACTCGCCGCCGTTTGACCTATAGGAGCCTCTTTTTGCTATTGCGCTAAAACGCATTAGATCACGCGTGGGGTTGTCTTCATCGTCGGTCGGGCCGTGCGTAGCGCTCCCTTCCACCACGACGATGACGACAAAGACGACAATCGAACTTTGGCAAGGCTTGCCCACCTCTTCCCCGACGTCCTCCCCGTCGCTCGAAACGTCTCGGTCCTTGGGGAGCCGTGTGCCACCCAGGTTAGCTTAACCTTCCGTCCTCCTCCGTCGCATTCCTGCGAGAGGTTCCTCCTTGCGTGACTTGACCGCGGGAACTTTTCCATTGTTCTCGCATTGGCACCTGGGTGGAAGGGTGACGCTTACCCCTTGCCTTCTTGCGTTGGTCTCTCGTTTTGAACCGTCTAGTGGAATTTCCTGGGGCAAATCAATGCCCTGTTGCGATCTCTTGCAGGAGCTACTTGGGGTCATTTCGGCGGACAGTTTTGCGCCAATCACTCTTGCCTTGGGAACGTGGGCCCATTGTTTTTTGCCAGCAATCGTGGCCCTGGGAGCGTGGAGCCGCCGACCTTCACGAGGAGCTCCAAGAGGCCCATATAGGCCCCAGTGGCCCCGAGAAAGTGGCGCCAACGAAGGCCCACGACACCCACAGTCATACAACCACCTAGTGCTTTCCATTTGTTCGTTTGCTCCATTCAGATAGTTTCAGAATCGCGTCAGGGGGGGCAAGATGGCTGAATACGGACCCGTAGCCTTTTTAGCTCAAGGTCTCCGGTGGCGCTTTCAGGTAGCTTCGGCGCTCTTCGGAGGTATGGTTGGCAGCTTGCTGCGATAGCGCCTCATTGACTGCGTGAGGGGTACTTCAACCATGGGATCTTGCGTTATCTCGAGATCGGTCCCGCCAGAACGCACCCAGGCTACGGCGTCTTTTCGCCAAGGGACTGCAGTGCCCGTGCCATCTCATGTGCTGATGCGCGACACAGAATGGAGTACAAGAGTGATCGACAAAGTGTACACCTGGCGAGAGTCGGCAAGGAAGTATTGGGATCATCATTGCGGGCACGAGGTGGAAGCGGTGGTGCGTAGCGGTGCGCTCCTGCTGATCAGGGGCAGCTGGCTGGTTAGTAGCTTCGATGCTGGAGAGGGCATCAGGCGCCGTCAAGACTTGCCTGCCGAGGCAACCCTCGACCTTGATGAAGTGATCGGTGCTGGCATTTTGGAGATTCCTCTGAAGGGGGGCTTGCGAATAATAGCAGCCTCCTACGCCTGGCTGCACCCGGATCACCCAGACCCCAAGCGCGACCAACTTGCACGTTTTGTTCAGGCGCTTCGCGCATTCATCGCAGCCGACCTCGCTTGCGGCAGATCAGGCGTGTTCGGCATCGTCTGGGACTATATGTCGCTCTACCAGAGCCCCCGCACAGATGACGAGGATACAAAGTTCCGTGAGGCGCTGCCAGCGCTGAACACGATCTACGCACACCCGTACACCCGCACGTTCATGCTGACAAGCATGCCAGCGCATTGGCCCGCATCTTATTTCGAGGCTGGAGTTTATTCGTTTCAACCGCCCGGGGAATCAGCTTCCCAGGACACCAGGGTTTTTCAAAGATATTCGTATCCGTTGCCTCGGTGCCCACGGATCGGTTCCCCAGACGGGGGATATGTATAAACTATGGCCTCGGGCTTGTAATTTGCCAGCAGGAGCCAACGCTGCTGAGTATTTTGGCCGCGGTTGGTGCTTCGGAGAGTGGAGCATGTCTACGCTGGTGAAGAATCGGCGCTTCTGTCTTGACCTTGGTCAGCTCGATCCGCAGGTCACGGACTACGAGTTGATCGTTGATTGTTGCTCGCAGGGCAGCTCCAGGAAAGCGCCCTTGCTGCCTGCAGAGTTCACGGAGGCACTTCGGCAGTGCACTTTCACGAACCGTGGTGATGATGGACCACGCGTGAGTGCCCTTTACGAGCGTGCTTTTCAGGATCAACTCTCGCGTGTCGAGAGGCTGTGGTTGTTTGGCTTGGACTGGGACGACCGTGACGCAGCCCAGCTGGCAAAGGTGCTCATGACCGGTGTCTGCTCGCATCTCGAGACGATTGACCTCAACAACAACAATATCCCGTTGTTTGCGGCAAGTCCCCCCCCCGTGCCAGCCCAGCTTTCTGGGTGGCGACTGTTCGAGGGGACACGGGAGTCCGTCACGTGTGACACCTTTGTGTCTCCAGCCCGGTGAGAGCCGTGATGAGGATGAAAAGGATGAGGATAATGAGGACGATAGGACTGATGATGATGATGATGATGATGATGATGATGATAATGGTCGTGGTGATGATGATGATGATTTCGATGTTGCTGTTTGCCGTGATGCGTGAATTCTGACGGTGAGGATACCGTTGCTGATAAGATGAGGATGATGATGAGGCTGATGATGAGGAGGAGGAAGAGCAGAATTAGGATGGGGATGAGGATGGTGATACTGATGAAGATGATGGTAATGATGATGATGATGATGATGATGATGATGATGCTGATGATGATGATGATGTTGATTGTGATTACTATAATGCTGCTGATAATGATGATTCAGATAATGACGATGATGTCGTTGCTGATGGTGATAATGAAGAAGATGATGCTGATGCTGCTAATGATGATGACGATGAGGATGATGAGGCTGATGATGCTGATGATAAGGGGGATGGTGGTTATGATGAGTATGATGATGATGCTGCTGATGATGATGATATTGTTGATGTTGATGGCTGACGACAATGACGTTTACGATGACGACGCCGATGCCGATGCTGGTGATGCTTATGATACTGCTGATGATGCTGATGATGCTGATGATGATGATGATGGTGGTGGTGATGATGCTGGTGGTGATGATGATGATGGTGGTGGTGATGATGATGATGGTGGTGGTGGTGATGATGATGCTGATGATGATGTTGGTATGATGATGGTGGTGATGATGCTGATGGTGATTCCGATGACGATGATGGCGATGATGATGATGATGATGATGATGATGATGATGATGATGGTGATGATGATGATGGTGATGATGACGATGATGGTTATGGTGATGGTAATGATGATGGTGACGGTGATGACGATGATGACGGTGATGATGACGAGGATGGCGATGATGACGATGAAGACGATGATGATGGTGATGATGACGATGCTAATGCTGATGCTGATGCTGGCGCTGCTGATGATGTTGATTCTGATGATGACGATGACGCTGATCATGGTGCTGCTGTCGATGATGATGAAGAAGATGATGTTGATTCGGCTGCTGCTGATGATGATGACGAGACTGATGCTACTGATGCTGATACTGCTGATGCTGCTCTTGATGAGGGGGAGGAGGATGATCGTTGTGATGAGGATGGTCATGATGATGCTGAGGATGATGATGTTGATGTTAATGGCTGACGACAATGACGATTACGATGACAATGCCGATGCTGATGATGCTGATGATACTGCTGATGATGATGCTATGCTGACGATGATGGTGGTGATGATGGGCCCGGTGGGGCTGATGATGATGCTGATGATGATGCTGATGATGATGATGATGATGATGATGATGGTGATGATGTTGGTGGAGGCGGTGGTTATGAATCATAATGGTAGTGATGCTGATGATGGTGGTGGTGATGATGATGATGCTGATGCTAATTTTGTTGATGTTGATGGCTGATGATGATGCTGCTGATGATGGTGATGACGATGTTTAGGATTGTGATGGTGATGATCATGATGCTGATGCGGCTGATGATGATGTGGTTGTTGTTGTTGGTGGTGGTGGTGGTGTTGAAGATGATGCTGATGATGCTGTTGATGATGATGATATTCATGATGATGATGACGGCAATGATGATGGTGATGCCGATTATGATGACGATCATGCTGATGACCATGATGATGCTGATGATGATGATGCTTATGATGATGATGATGATGATGATGATGATGGTGCTTATGATGATGATGATGATGATGATGATGATGATGATGTTGATGATGATGATGATGATGATGATGATGATGATGTCGATGATGATGATGATTATGATGATGATTATGATGATGATGATACTGATCATGATGATGATGATGATGATGATGATGATGATGATGATGATGATGCTTATGATGATGATGATGATTATGATGGTGATGGTGATGGTGATGGTGATGGTGATGGTGATGGTGATGATGGTGATGATGGTGATGATGATGATGATGATGATGATGATGATGGTGATGATGGTGATGATGATGATGATGATGATGACGATGATGATGATGATGATGATGATGATGATGATGATGACGATGATGATGATGGAGGAGGAGGAGGAGGAGAATGAAGCTCGTCTGGGCTGTCTTGGGGCTGCCTTGGCCTCCGGTGAGGTAGTCTTTGGGGCTTTTGGGGGCCCTCTGGGGCCGTCCTTGGGCCCGCTTACGCCACAGTGGGGCTCTCTTGGGCCGTTTTGGGGCCTTCTTGCCCGTGTGGTGGGTGCCTGGGGGCCGTCGTGGGGCGCTCGTGGCGCCGTTTGGGCCGTCGAAGGGCCTTCTAAGGCTGTCTTGGGTCCCACGGGAGTTCCTCTTGGGCCGTCTTGGTGCCGTCCAGGGTGCCTCTTCGGCCATCGTGGAGTCCTTTGGGCCGCGAGAGTGCGACAAATCTTTGAACAACCCAGGGGGAATCAATTATTAGGTTTTTCCAGGCCCTGTTTGAGGTCCTCTTGTGGCCATTTGGGCTTTCTTGGAGGCATCTTGGGAAGTCTCGAAGCGAAATTTCGCCGCCATGGGACTATCTTGGACCGTCTTCGAGGCATCTTGGGCCAACTTGGTGTCCTGGGTTGCCTGCACGGGCCGTCTTGGAATCTCGGGACGCAGATCCATCGTTTTTCTTTGGGGGATCGTTGCTTGCAAGGCCTTGGAGCGCGTGGGAGCAGTGGCTGGACATGCGGAAGGTGCACGATCATCGAGCGGGTGCGCGTGGGATGAAGGGGCCTAGGACCTATGAGTTGGCAGCCATGCGGGAAGTGCGCAATCCTTGAGCAGGCGCGCATGAAGCAAAGTTTTTGTCATTGGCTGCCATGCGGGAAGTGCACCTTTCTCTAGCGGACGCGCGTGGGATAGGGGTTCAGGCATTATCGGCCATGCGGGAAGTGCACCATTCTCGAGCCGGCACGCGTGCAATGGGGCTTTAGGCATTAGCTGTCATGCCGGAAGTGCATAATCTTCGAGCGGGCGCGAGGGAAGTAGCCCTTGTTTTTCGAGGGGATGCACGCGAGAGTCTGCTGGTAGAAGGAGAGGCGGTCTCGTATTAGATTCCACAATCCTTACAAGGCAGACCTTGGCATTTGGCATTCTTCCACGCCGCAACGTGGGGCACGGTGGCGGATTACAGATCAGGGTGCATCCGTTCTTGCGAGCGCAATGCAATCTGTTCCAACATTGAATGTGATTATTTTAGTAGGCAATGGGTGTAGTGATCACTTCCATTGGATAAGGCGAGATTGTGTTCTGAATCGATCCCTGAGTTGAACAGGTACGATTGACACGCAAATGCGTTGACATCTGCTCCTGCGGCTGTAGAGAGAGAGAGTACTGCGAACTGCTCGTGCCTCTCTTGTTTGAACAAGTAAGTGGCCTAGTGACGCAAGCAGGAAACCACAAGGTGGGGCGGCTCAATCGGACCACGAGAGCTCCAGGAGGGCTCAAGGGGCTGGTAAGACAGTCCCCGAGAGTGCCCAAATTACACCAAAACGCTCAAAGATAGCCCAAGAGGGTCCCGTAGGCATTCAATTGGCACCTAGAAGAGCCGCAAGGGGCCCCAAGGACGGCCCCAAAGGGGCCCAACAGTGAACCAGGGTGCAACATTGGTTCAGAAGGCGCTGGAATTGCTTTGTGCGGGGCAGCGAGTCGTAGCGCACCCCAAGGGTGTGGTGTGGAGGGCCCTTCGGGTGAGGGGAGACTTCGCCAGGGGGCAATGTACAACAGCGTCTTTCCCCAACATCATCACGACAGTTCTTGAGCCAATGCAGTTTACGTCACGCAGCCTGGAGGCCTCACAGGGGGGTCGTGCTGTCTCACGAACTTTAGGTTCCCGTGCATTCACGTTACTGTTTGGTCGTTGGTGCATGGATATTCTTGTAGATTGAAGTTTTCAGTCTGTTGGGACACCCGCAGTCCTGGTGCGGTGCGTATGTGCGGGGGATGCTGAGAGACCTGCAGCGAGGGAACATCAGGGCCAGAAGGTGGGATCGTTTAGGGTTTCGTTGTCGCATTTGCGGGCAAGGGCCAGTTGTGGTGGCGGTGTCTGCTCCAGATGCGCTTGGCCGCTGACTTGACCTCTCACGTATATATTTGCGCCGGAATCGCACGCCTATGGTGCAATAAGGGGAATCCATGAAGGGGCGCTCATTACTCATGCATGCGTCCAATGAGCGTCTCCGCGAGCAGAAATGCAAAGCAAATGCAGTGTTTCGCCTTCTTTCGCTGGCTTGCTAAGGGGTGGTGACGCGGATGCCGACGAGGACGACAATTCCGTCGTGACGGGGCATGAGAACGAGATGCCAAGGGTGTTGCCTTGGAGGATGGCCTGGGTAAGACAGTAATTACATCATGCCACCTTTCCCGCACCCCAAGCAGGCCTGGCCACGATTCGATCGATTCGGTTCTGCACGCCGACGCGTGTGCGTGCATTGACAGCTTGATTCACGCATCCCCGGGGGCGACTCGCGTGTCTCCCTGATCTGGGGTTCGACTCGGCCTGCCCGATCTGACGGTGAAAGCGGTTCACTCGATCTGCGAATGGGAGGAGGAGGAGGAGGAGGAGGCGAGCAGCGCTCTGTGCTTCTCCCCACTCCCCTCCCTGCTGGTCCCAGCTCCCTGAGGCACGGTTGGTTTGACGAGTAGACTTCATGGAGCTCCCTGACCTGACCCGACCTCCTTCCTCCTCCCCCCGATCTGTTCACTCTTCTGCTCTCTACTTCCTCTTCCTCCTGATCCGTTCAGGCTCCCTGGAGCTCCCGCGCTAGGTCCTGGGGATTCGGGACGCGTCGATCTCCGAAATGGCGTGAAAATCTGGAGACACCTTGGGACAGGAAGACCTCCGGGACCCATCCGTCATTGTTTTCGTGACACGATGCATGGCTAAGTTTTCGTGAGTCTGAGAGAGGAGGACCAACGAAGCGTGCATTCTCGATTTCGTCGCGATTCCCCAATGTCCTGCCCTGCACGGGGCTACCCTGTATTCAGCCCAGCAAGCCCTTTCATAGGCGCGCTCGCAGACACATCAGATCCCCAGGTTGTTCTGCACACTCGCTGTCGCGCTTGGTGCTGCATGGGTCCTGGCCGGTGTCTACCACCTTCTCGGCGTCTCCGACACGTGGGACATGGACATCCCGTTCGAGGCGGGCTCCGTGCTCACTTTGCAAATTTCCTTCCCCGTTTGAATCCAGAGACGGGCACGATACGGCATGCAAACACGCGGATCCGAGTCCAAGTTTTCTTCGCCCTCCAGTGCTCAGGGCGTTGTTCCTTAGTTTCCTCGCGAGGCACGATATGGTCTTCAACAGCCAGCTCGATATCGAGCAATGGTTGAAGGACGTGTTGCCAGTGCGTGGACTCGAATCAGTTTACCCTTGTAACAAGTTTGGATTTTCTGTGAGGTGTGTGTGTGTGTGTGTGTTGACCTCATGAGTGTGGAGCCCAATGTATGCAGGACCCCATGCCTGCGGAGCCTGTGTGTGTGTGTGTGAATTCACCTGTGCGTGGAGCCCCGTGTGTGTGTGTGTGCGTGTGTGTGTGTGTGTGTGTGTGTGTGTGTGTGTGGAACCCCTCGTGGGTGCGTGCGTGCGTGCGCGCGCGTATGTGTGTGTGTGTGTGTGTGTGTGTGTTTGCGCGCGCGCGTGTGTGTGTCTATGTATGTGTATGTCGTTTGTGTGCGTGTGTGGCGCGGGGTCGCGACGCCAACAAGTGTGTGTGTGTGTGTGTGCGTGGGTGGACTGCCATGGGTGTGACCCAGCCCTGTGTGTGTCTGTGTGGTGCCGCATGTGTCTGGACACCATCTCCGGGGGCGTGCCTGAATTGGCCTACTGCGGTGAGGATACTCTGTTGTTTGTTTGTTGTTGTTGTCGGCCTCGTCCGTGACCCGCCCTTGGACCGCCCGCGGACCGCCTGCGACCCGCCCGCGACCCACGCGCGACCCACCCGCGACCTATCCACGCGCGACCCGCTCGCGACCCACGTACATTGCTTTGCGACAGGAGGAGCAGGAGGGATATCATAGGAGAGAGGGCGGAGGGCGGAGGCGTAGGATCATGAAGCACAGTGCAGTCCCTAACCCCAAACTAAGCACAACGAGTTCGTGGGCTAACATAGGTCCACTTTTTTTTTAGGGCTACCCCTAAACTTAGCAGTGGTGTCGTCTTGTACATCCGCAGAACAACCAATCATCCCTAAGGTGTTTGGCCCTCCCAACTCAGGCCCCCCTCCCACGGGATCCGAGGCACTTCTCTTGCTCATCACGGGGAACTCCTCTGGCCGCCGCCCCTGGACTTGCCGCCGCCCAGGTGGAGCACAAGGTCAACGAGACGTGGGAGGTTCGGCGGCGCGTCCAGGGGGGAAGTGAGAAGGGGCGGGCCTTCTCAGAAGGTTCGGAAGTCCCCTTGCCTTCTGAGACGTTGTCCGAGCCTTCCCGGAAGACGCCGAGAGCTTTCCAGAAGGCCGGGGAGGGCTTCCGAGGAGCCCCGCCGCCTCCTGAGAGGGCCTCCTCCTTCTCACTTGCCCCCCCTCGCTCGCCGCCGAGAGGTGGGCAAAGACGATGGGGACCTGGAGGCCGAGCGGCGCGCCTCTCCCCGCTCGGGCGGGGCGCACAGCTCCAGGCCTCCCAGATGGGGCCCGAGTAGACGGGGTCGGAGGATCGCGCCGCATCTCCGAGGCATCGGCGATGCGGCTCGATGTGGAGCCCGACTTTCTTTGCGCTGGCGTCGACGATGCACCGCCGACATCGCCGATGCATCGCTAATGCATCGGCGATGCGGCGAGATCCTCCGACCCCATCTACTCGAACCTTATCTGGGAGGCCTCTAACAGCACGGCTGCGCGGGGGGAGGAAGGAGGACGAGGCACGGCAGGAGGGATAGGCAGGAGAGGGAGGAGCCCGCGGCGGACAGGGCAGAGGAAGGTGCGGGTGCGGGTGCGGGTGCGGGTGCGGGTGCGGGTGCGGGTGCGGAGGAGGAGGAGGAGGAGGAGGAAGAGGAGGAGAAGGAGGAGGAGGAGGAGGATGATGAGGAGGAGCAGGAGGAGGAGGAGGAGGAGGAGGTGGAGGAGGAGAGGAGGAGGAGGAGGAGGAGGAGGAGGAGGAGGAGGGAGGAGGAGGAGGAGGAGGAGGAGGAGAGGGGATGGAGAGGAGGAGGGGGAGGGAGGGAGGGAGGGAGGGAGGGAGGGGGGAGGGAAAAAGGAGGGAGGGGGAGGAGGAGGAGAGGAGGGAGGAGGAGGAGGAGGAGGAGGAGGAGGAGGAGAGGAGGAGGAGGAGGAGGAGGAGAAAGAGGAGGAAGAGGAGGAGGGGGAGGAGGAGGAGGCGGAGGAGGAGGAGGAGGAGGAGGAGGAGGAGGGGAGGAGGAGGAGGAGGAGGAGGAGGAGGAGGAGGAGGCGGAGGCGGAGGAGGAGGAGGAGGAGGCGGAGGAGGAGCAGGGGGAGAGGAGGAGGAGGAGGAGGAGGAGGAGGAGGAGGAGGGGGATGGAGAGGAGGAGGAGGAGAAGGAGGAAGAGGAGGAGGGGGTGGAGGAGGATCAGGAACAGGACCAGGAGCAGGATTGGGTGGCGTGATCTGGGGGGAAGGGGGAAAGGCGGATGAGAAGAAGGAGGAGGGGAGGGGGAAGGGATGACGAGCGAGGGGAGGGAAAGGAAGGAGGGGTGGTGGGGACGACGGAGGATGGGTGGGGGAGCGATGGGAGTGAGTGGAGGGAGGGCGGGGCGGGGAGGGGGATAATACAGTGGAGGCCCATGCCAAGAAACACCCTGCTTGCCTTCAGGGTGCCCTGGGTTTCTTTGGTTTCGATGGTTTTGCGATGGAAAGCGTGACGTTCCCACACCAAATATCCATGGACGTCCTGGTGTCTCAGGGTTGGGTTTCTTGTGGAAAGTTTCTCGTGGACTGGCCTCCACTGTACTAGTGAAAAGCAGAGGCAGGAGCAGCGCGTGGTGCCCGAGCAGGAGTAGGAGAATGTGCTCGCGGGAGAACGACAAGAAGGGACAACGGAGGGGCAGGACGAGGAGGAGGAGCCATCAGGAGCCATGAGGAGGGAGGAGGAGGTGGAGGAGGAAGAGTTTGCGTTCTGTCCTCGCCTTGTTCAAGCACGGTCTCGCTTGCACGAAGTCCTACTGTACCAGACTGATACTGAGCACTCAGAGCATTCTTATTGATCTCTTTGACGGCCACTCTCCGAGGAAGCGAGCAGTGGCAGCGAATTGGCCGCTGGCCTTCCACGCTTCAGCGCGGGGGCAGATAGCATCGCTTCCGAGATACACCGCTTGCTCTCATCTACCTTTGCCCACCCCCTCTGTCTCTGCCACCTCTCGCCCAGAGCCCTCCGGACACTGTCCGGCGAACCTCTTTCCTCCTTCAGTTTTTTTATTCTGACTTTCCATTGGTTGGAAGTAAGCCTGGCGCACCCCAAAGTAGGGTTTCTTTGCGTTGCATTGCATCAGTTGTGCTGGCAGGCATTGCAAAGCAATGCAATGGTCAGTGATGCAAGATCAGCGCAGTGCGACTCATTACAACAACACGCGATACAAGTCAAGGACAACTTATATAAGTAAACGCAGCGCGGTGCAACGCAATTGCAACGCAACGCAAATTCAATGCGACTGCAATGCGAGCACGGTCGAATGCAATGTGACTTCAGTACGTGTATTGCATAACACAGCGAGCAACAATGCAACAGCAATGCGCAGCCAATGCATATTGATTACCAACGTTATTCATCACACACGCAACGCAACGCAATACAATGCAATAGGGTGAGAAACAATGGCATGCAACGCAATGGACAGCAACGCAACTGCAATGCGTTTCGAACGTACTGCAATAGCAATACGCGCTTCATGATCAGGCATTGCTGCAACATCATCGCGACATCGCTGCAACCTGTGCAATTGAATGAGCGCGCACGCAACGTACACATTGTAAACAGCAATGCGTGAACAACGCGCACAGATAGCGAGCACACGTCTTGAACAGTGCAAGAGCAAGGTGCACGCATTGCAGAAACGTTGCAGCATCCGTGCACAAGCTGTGCGATGTTACGGTGGGGGCGTTCGTAAGGAACTTGCCCAGGAGGCGCCAGACCCTGGAGGGTTCCTTATCTGATTAGGGCGGCGGTGATATCCTTGGCCAATCCACGATTGGCTTTCCACTGGCTTCCAGACCCTGGATGCCCCCACCGTACATTACGTTAGGTTCGTGCGGCGTTGACGCGCCGGCGACGCCGGCGAAGGCGTTCAAGGTTGATCTCTGCGATGCGGAAGCACAGGGACTCGGTGACGCCATTGGACCCGACGGACTTCGACCTTGAGCGATCGGGGCCGCGATCGGTTCAAGCTTGAACGATCGACGCGCTGTAAAAAAAACCTTTGCGCGCGCCGAGGCCGCACGAACTTACCGTACGCTTGTCTGAGCAGTGCAGACCTGGGGCGAGGAGCCGAGGCCCGAGCAGCAGGGAGCCCGCCGTGCGCGCTGCCACGGACGCGGGTCGTCGCAGAGAGCAGGGACGATCCCCCCAGGCAGAGAGGTCTGTCGAGGAAGAAAAAACACACAAACATACACTTTCGGCGCTCCGCGCGGATTTCTTGGATCGGCGCTGGGCCCCCCTGGCGGCGCCTCTGGCGCCGCCCCTGGCGCGCTCCGCGCGCCGGGCGCGCCGGGGAGGGGTCCGCTGCGGATCCAGGAATTCCGCGCGGAGCGCCAAAAGTTTATGTTTTCTGTTTTTTTGTTGTTGTTCCTCTAGCCTGCCCCTCCTCCCTCCCCTTGTTATCCGTCCTTGCCTCCCTCAGCCCTGCCTCCTCCACCCTCGCTGCTTTGCGCCTCCTTCCTCCGTCTTCCCCCCTCCCCCCTCTCCCCTGCTCGACTGTGCCCGCTCACTGTCGGCGCCGCTCGTGGTCTGCATTAGTGCGATTGTACCATTACCTTGGATCCAGCACCATCTCGCAGATCTCGTCTTAGCTCCGACACAGCTCGACAGGATAATCGGCTGCAGGGCAATCTGCAGATGCACATCCTTTAAGTCGTGCCTCTTGATCTTCTTCGCATCTTGCTGCCGAGCTTTCATCATGGCTGTAGTCGAAAAGTACCCCCCCGCCCTCCCCCCCCCATCTCCTCCCCTCCCCCGCCCCCTGCTCCCCATCTGCTGCCCCTCCCGCTGCAGATCGGGGAGCTGCGCACGACTGGCCGCTCGATGCCCGGGCACCACGGCCGCATCGTGCATCGCGTGCCGCTGCGCCACAAGGAGGGGCGAGGGTCGCTTGGGTTGGGGCTCCGAATGATTTTCTCCACGCCGACGGCACCGATGCATGGCCGATGCATGGCCGATGCATCGGCGATGCTGCGCGATCCTGCGACCCCGTCTACTCGGACCCAATTTGGGAGGCCTCCGAAAGAGGAGGACATGTTGGACATGAGCCAGGTGGCTCGGGATGTACTGGTTCCGTTCACTCGTTCGGATTCACTTGTTGTGTTCTGGCCTCGTTGGTGGTTCGCGATCCTGGAAAACGTTCTTAACCTTCGGGAGGAGGCGAAAGAGGAGCTCCTCAGTGCTCGTAATGATCTGCCTGCTCTAGCTGTCGCTTGCGGTTTTTACTATCCCAGGCCCTTCGAAGGCCAATGTCCAGGATCGGTTGGGGAACCGATCTTTTAACTTTGGCTGAAGCACGTGCTCACCTACTGCAAACTAGTTGCATCGTACCAGGCTCCTGGTTTGCCTGGTGGAGCAGGCTATATACATGTGTAAACAGAATGTATATATATATGTAATATGTCGAAACGGAGTCTGGGTGATGTCTGAATGGAGGGAGAAATTTTGTTTGACGGACCTGTGGGAGGCATGGCTTCGAGGGTACACAAGGAGGGTACGCCTTTGCCTTCATCACCCTCTTCCTCCTATTATTCTCTCACCCCAGGAGGGCGGCTCGTTCGAGGGTGAAGCGGAGTTGGACTGTCACCTCTCCTTCCTCGCTTACCTGCGCGCGCGTGCGCCCTCCAGCATGTCCGTCGCATTTGAGGGTCGAGAGTGGGGTCGCTTGCACCCCTTCTGCAGACCCAATACTGCGTGAGGGGTCTGAATGCGATGATAACCGCGAGGTTGTTATTGTCAGCAATGACGTAAAAGTATCTGCGAAGATATCAGCAATGATAGGCGATTGATGTTGCTTAGCGGCACCTGCGAGGTGTCTACCGATACGCCCAAGCTCAAGGGCCCTTACAGGATTGAGCCCAAATAGTTACGAAAGAGCATATGCTTGCTGGCATGCTATGCTACACTGCTTACAGATCAGCACTGGCACTATTTATTTCACACTCGTGCAAAATTCTTCTGATCTGTGCATCTGCCGATATAGCGCATTTAGACGTGGTGATGGCACGTCAACGAGCTAAAATGAAACCAGGCGCACTGCGCGCTTGAAAAGTGAGCCGGCACTGTTAAGGTGTGCCTCGTGCTCTCTGGCCTGGTCCGTCGGCTCTTGATGCTGCAAAGCGAGACGTGTGTCTCGCAGCACTGCCCTGATGGCACTGCCGTCCGATCGCTTGGTGAACTGATCACCGAGCTGCTGATCAGTCGGAACCCAAAAGAGGGGTAGTTGGCTGCGCTGATCGTCAGCGACAAACTCGTTGCTAACTTCCTCTTCTAGTGACTCCTTGAGGCCCACTAGGTCGAGCAAAAGGCGCCGCTCTGACGGGAGCTTGGAATAACCGTCTTTATGCATCGTATCGTACAAACTGGCGCAATCTGTGACCTGAGCGAGCGGCAACAGACTCGGCGGGATGCCCTCTGGATGGGCATCCGGAATCTCTAGCGAAGCGAAAACACAACGTGTAATCTGAGCACAGCCTAGAGCGTCTACTGCCGACATCGTTTCGGCTGCCAACGTAGATCTGCAAACTCTCTTGATGGTGCCCGAACTCCAATCAACAATTCCTGCTCGAGCTCGATCTCCGCGTAGTAGCTTGGCTTCTGCGAGAAAACTCACGTAGCCAGCCTGCGAGCGAATCTAGATCTTCTTGTCCTTACTGGTTGCCCCCACGGTCTGGGCGAGCAACTTGGAGATGGCGCCTTCAGCTGGCTCGTCAGCGTTGGCCCAACTGGCGTCGTGGTACGTCACCAGGCACAGAGGTCCACGTAACTTAGGGAACTCCTAACCCACGTCCGCGTGCTTCCACGCCAACTTGATGAGCCTGTTCGTCTCGAGCAAGTCCTGGATGGTGGGCTTGTTCTGGGTCCGCTGCCCCATGGCCACTCCAGCTGCCAGGTCGGGACGAGTCTGCGATGAAAGCCACCCGAGCGCTCCGAGTGCGGAGCGGTTGTCCGAGAACTCGGCTGGCGTAGCATCTGACGACAGGTCCGTCTTGCGCTCCTTGCTGAGCGGAATCTCCTCGATGGTGTTCGCGTACTCGGTCTGTCGTAGATGTAGTACTTCCTCTTGATCTCGCCAGGCCTGCTTGCCGCAAAAGGTAAAAGGCAAGCCTCGCCAGTCGCCCCAGGGCAAAAGCTTGTGAAGCCTGTCGTAGAGGCCCGGGTACTTGCGCGAGATCCCCAGCAGCAAGTCGTCCACGTGGGCGACCACCACCGCACAGAGCTCACCGTGCTGGTCGTAGCCGTAGTACAGCGCTGGGTCTAGCGAGTGCTGGTGTAGGCGAAACGCGTAGTTGTCGCTCAGCTTCTCCTCCACCGCCAGCAGTTTCCTCTTGAGCTTCGCCCACCATTGTCTCGGTGCCGTGGCCAGCCCGAAAACTCCCTTGAGGATTTTGATCAGCTGCTTCGGGTTCAGCCCAGGCAAACCTTCGCGAGGCTGGGCCATGTGCAGCTGCTGGTCGGGCTGCTCGTCGCCTTGCATGAAAGCCGCCTCCACGTCCGCCGCGTAGATCTCCAGGTCGAACCTCTGGCAGATGGTGAAGAACAGCATGGTCGAGTTGCGGGTGTCCGTGGGCGCGTCCGTCCGCAGGTCGCCCTGAGCGAGGCGCGGGTCCATGTGGCCCCCGACGCAGAGTCGGGCCTTTGCCTTGACCGGCAGCGGATGCTTGTCGGTCCGCAGCGGGGTGTTCTTGTCCCGGTACACGAACCGGCTGGGCAGGATGAGGCTGGGCTTGATCATGCCCCTGATCGCCTCGGACTCCTCGATGGAGAGTACCTGACAGGAGCCATACTTCTGCCACTCGCTCCACTGCTTGGCGGCCGCCTCCCTGAAGAGCTCCCGATCAGAGTCCTTGATGGCCCTCCAGTGGATCTCCTTGTCGGCCTGCTTGCGCTTGATCCTCTCGGTCACGATGGAGGTTTGCAATGCTTGGCTTGGAGCCGACCTCGAACGTTGGCGGGCTCCTCCTGCTTCGGGTCCGGCCGCTGCCTCCTGATCGGGGGCCGCCGCGCGGTCCCGCGAAGTTGCCCTTGCGGGCAGGGCGCCGGAGCCTGCGTGCTCCCTCTCGGTCTGGAGTCGCTTGAAGGCCGGGCCGAAGTCGCCGCTGTCCACTCCGTCGAAGGTAGCTCGACGTCGTCGGAACTCGTCAGGGCCGTAGGTTTGCTCTTCTTCAGATTGTTGCGGCACGTCGGCGGGCAGCACCTGGATCTGCTCCTGCTGGGGCGGATCCTCGGAGACGTTCAGCTCGAGGTCGCTGTCGTCCGGGTTGTCGATGAATTCCCGCCACGCCTGCTCCATCTCGTCTGGCTTGACCTCGGGCTCGCCAGGCGCCGGGCGGATGTCCTCCACCTGAGCCTCTTCTTGTTCGAGCGAGTCGCGAGCCCGATTGAGCTCGGCCACGGCCTGACCGATCTCGCCCCAGCCGTTTCGGAACCAGACGTCGTCCGGAGCGAGTGCCTTGATGTGCTCCGGGGCCACCAGCATGGTGTGCCCTCCAAGCGAGACCCAGGTGTTTTCGCTGTGGTGGCCGATGACTACGCACGGCCCTCGCCAGATGCCCTTCTTGGCGTTGCGGTTGTGCTGCTCCCGCTGCTCCTTCTTCTTGACCTGGCGAAAGACGTAGCACATCTCGCCCACTGACAAGGGCGTCGCCACCGTGCGAGCGCGAGCCAGCATAGCTCGCCGGAGCTGGTCGTCGTTCTGCATCCTCATGAACGACTCGCGCGCCGCCGTCCGAATGGCATATCGGCGGCGAATCTTCTCGTCGTTGGCCGCGAGGCTGTGTGGGCGCTGTGGTTGGCCGTGTCGTCGACTAGGTATCCAGGCATCTTGGGGTCGCGTCCCAGCACCCATTGCGCGGGGCTGAAGCCTGCTCGCCTTCTCAGCGAGTTCTTCGCGCCCGATACCATGATGGCCAGCGTCCGCATCTCGTCCTCGCCCCTGATCGACGAGTGCTCGATCGTCCTCGCCGCGAGCTCCTTCCACCAAGCTCACTGGCGTTCCACGCGACCGAGCTGCCAATGTGCCTGACCAGCGATGGGCAGCTGCACCGTGTTGAATGACTGGAACAGCTCGCTGAGGGCGCCGCCGAACCCCTTCTCCATGTCGAAGTGAACTCGGTCGGGTACGCCCGCCCAGGAGGCCCATCACCTCTCGAACGCGGCAGCGAACGCCTGGCTGGTTTGGCGATCGATCAGCGTCGCGACATGGAAGGTGGTGGCCAGGTCGACGATGCTGAAATACCAGTAGCTCTTGCCGTCGACGTCCTTGAGCTCGAAGCAGTCGAAGCCGACGTCGTCTCCAAAATCTTGCACGAAGTGGAGGTGCGCTGGTCTCCTCGCGCTCGGGCGCTGCTGCGAGCGGCACGCCCCGCAGATCAGCTCCTTGACGGCCTGGGCGGTGGCCGACTTAGCGCCTTTGAGTCGCAAGCTGCGGCCCAAGTCTTCATTAGACGGATGGCCCAAGTTGACATGGAGTCTCTTGAGCATGGCCAGCTTGGCTGGCTTGCAGCAGGCCGCTGCTTTCTTTGTGAAAGTAATCGCGCCGACCCCGATCCTGCCGTCCACAGTATCTTCGGCCCGCACGTCGTGAGTGTCGGCGAAGTCGTCTCCGCCGCCCATGGGGTCTGGGTCCCCATCAGGCTCGCCCGTCTCTCCCAGGGGCGCGGTGTCGTTTACGTAGGCGGTGGCCTGCTCCCTGGGCACTGTCACGATGAAGGGCGACGAGTGCGACTGGCAGTCCACCTGGTAGGCGCGATGCCCTCCTTGCTGGCGAATCACCTGCTCCACAATGCGCACCGCCGCTCTGCAGAACTTAGCGGGATAAACGCCAGACTTGCGCACCGCCACGTTGTCCCCAAAGGTCTGGTCGTGGTGCTTGCGGCTGCAGGTGCGCTTCAGCTGCTCGAACTCCTCGTGGGTAACGAGCAGCTTCGCGGGGTGCTTGATGAGCCCCCCCGTCTTGTAGTGTCGAGCTCCGTACTCGCACATGTCGCGCCTCACCTGGTACACGCGCTCGTCTGCCAGTAGCTCCAAAATCGCGCGCTGTGTCCAGGGCCGGCTGGTGGCCGGGTTCTCGATCATGGCCATGTCGCCAGAGTCGAGCTGGTACTTGAAGAGGTCGCGGGCCAATGAAGGAACGGCCGCTCCGTCCTCCAGATCCGTCGGAGCGCCTGCCTGGCCTGCGGCGTCCGAAAGTTGAGGTGCGTGATGTTCGTGTAGTGGGTGCAGGGTAGCTCGATTGTCACGAACTTCGGCCTTGAGGCGTAGTACAGGTCGTACGTCGCGTCGAGGTCCTTCTGCTTGCGTAAGTCCCATCCGTATTTGCGGTCGATCACCTCTGTGGCCGTCATCCGACGCTTCCACGCCGCCTCGGTGATGCCGCCTTCGCCTCCGAACACCTGCATGACGTCCACGCGGTGGCTGCGAACGCTGTAGGCCTCCTTGACGTCCTGGACGTGGTCGACCACGTCTCGCGCAGCACTGGTAGCATGCTGCACCACGGGCTTGAGGTCTAGCCAGCCAGTCCGCGGTGAGCACCGTCTGAAAGGCGAAGGCGCTCAGCAAGCCCGTGACCTGGTAGAGGAGGCCGACGCGCTTGCCCTTCTTGATGCCTGACCGCCGCCTCGGGGCTGGCGACCCGTCCTGGCGGCCACCGCCGCCCAGTCCCTGTTCTGCTGAGGTTCCCGGGAGCCTCTCGGGCGATCCTCCTTGTCGGTCTCGCCCGCCTTCTCGAGGCCCATGTCGCTGGTGTCCATCTCGTGCGGCTCCGGAGGTCGCTGGCGCCGATGCCCGGCCCAGCTCCCCTGGCTTCCTGAGGCCCTCGTAGTCGTAGCCGCTGGCGCCACCCATTCGTCGTCCAGCACCACCTCCTCGGCCATCACTGCCTCCAAGGTGGTCTTGGCCTTCTCCGGGGGAAGGGGCGGCACTCCGTGCGCCTTTACCCGCCTGGCAAACCGCGCCAGGAGCGAGCTTGCCCGATTGTTGTTGAGCTCCACGACCGCCCACTGCGCGTAGCCCAGGTCGTTCTTGAGCACCCGCAGCGGTAGTCCGCCGTGGGGTACTTGCCAAAGCGCATCTTGTCGGCCCCGGTGATCTGTGAGCTCGGATGAGCCACCGTCGCCGCAGCACTGCTGACCGTGTCCTCGACCTTCCAGCCCTTGAGGCGCTGCCTGAGCTCCGGCGCGGGCGTGCGCTGGTCGAACTCGATCTGGTGGTCCCGACACAGCTGCTGGAGATCCCCCTTGTTCTTCTTGCCGAGCCCCGGGATGTAGTCGTCCTGCGGCGTGCTCTCGCGGCCCTCGGCCCTCAGCGCACGCAAGATCACCCGGAGCTGGTCGCACGTGGCGTCGCGCACATCTAAGTCGTAGCTTGCCACCTCGGCCTGCAGCTCCGGCATCCGCATGCTGGATATCGCGGGAAGACGGGCAGTACTCGTCGTCGGCAAGTTCTGGCCGCTGCCCCCCGGGCTCGTCTCCTTGGGAGATGTCGTACATCGCTGGTGCGACGGGGGCATAAGCGCCGGCCGCTGGTTCGTGAAAAGCTGCGGTGGCTGGATCTGCCACGGCACGCGTCGTACTCGCTGGTGGAGCCACAGTTGAACTCGAGCCGGATGGCTGCGGTGATGATGTAGTTTGATGACTTTGTGCTGATGGCTGATCTCGTGGCTCGCTGCGGCTTGCTTGCTGCTGAAATCGAACATGCCGTGACTGAGTATCGCTGCGAGGTTTAGCTCCCCGTTCGTCATGGTCGTGGTTGGTCTGCATAATCTGTGCTGTGCTGACTGACCTAGTACACGCTCCCCAGGCCTCGTCTTCCGATCCCGATGACGATTGACGTGATGGAATGTATGCGCTCATGGCCTGGCGCACCTGCTGCTCGAACAGTTCGGCGCGATCGAGCGCATTGCAGTCAGTATCCAGCGGAGACTCGTCGGCCTCCGAGGCAACTCCTGGGTGGCGAGCCTCGGGCACCACCGGCTTGGCGGCGCTGGCCACAGCTGTCTCAGCATGGTAAGAAGCGCAAGGATGAAGACGAATCTCGGCCTTGGTATCCGAGACGTCCAAAACGGGCTTATAGTTCGGCGTGAAGCCTGTGATGTCCAGCGTCGGGTGTCCGGCGCGTCTCAGGCCCATCTGGATGTTGTGCTCGTCGATCGACTTGATGTCCAGCTTGTTGTCTCCGGCGTGGTAGACTATGTCCAGCTCGCTCTGGGCCTTGCGGCTGAACAGTCCTGGCACGGCGCTGCGCACGATGCCCATGCGGACGGTGAAGGCCTTGCCGTTCACCGAACAGGGGATCAGCGCCGCCTTGAGGCTGAACGCCACCTTCGACGCCCCGAACCGGAACGGCTCCTTCTCGGGGTACTCGATGGGCTGGATGTTGAAGGCGGCCAGTCTCTTCTTGATGTCGTTGTGCCAGTCGAGGCCGCCGACGCACCGAGCGCAGGCCGTGTCGAAGGTCAGCTTGCCCCCCGACTCCTTCAGCAGGTCCTCGACGCTGAGGTAGATTAGCGCCGAGCTCGTCGCGGCCATCAGGCACTGGTGGTCCTTATTGATGAAAAACGCCGCCGCCGTAACTTCTTCGGGTAGCTCGGCGGCCTGGCGGATCTGCGTCCAGTCGATGCTGTGCAGCGCACTGTACTTCCTGTCGCGAACCGCGGCCCGCTGGTCCTGCTGGTAGACCGCCGCGACCGTCATCTCCGCCACGTGAGGCTCCTGCGCGTCGCTGGTATCGTGTGTGGCGATGTTCGTCCTGTTGCTTCCCTTCTTCGGGATGTCGGCCTTTGCGTTAGGGTCGTTCTTCTTCGAGCACTGCGGGTCACCGCGCTAATGGCCCTTCTGGCCGCATGCGCCGCAGTGTGTCCTGGCCTTCATCTTGGCGATCTTGGGATCGTCTCTCTTCGGCAGGTTGCCGCCGTCGCGCTTGGCGAAGTAGCCACGCGCCTGCTTCGCCTCCTTCAGCTTGTCCTTGGCGCGCACCATAATCTTGGTGAGGAACGCTACCTGCTCCTCCGCCTCGTCGATCACGTCCTGCAGCTCGTCGGGCAGCTCGTCCTCGTAGTCGTCGAAGCTGTCTGAGGACGCGCCGTCGAGCTCGGCCCTACGATCCTCCTCGTAGGTCTCCGTGGCGTACGCCCGCTTGTGGTCCTTGTTCTTGTGACCTCCGTAGCCTCCTTTGTCGTGGCTGTCCTTGTTGCCGTCCACGACCGATACCTTGGGCAAGTTGATCATCAACTGCTCCTGGATCTTGGTGGGGTTGAACTGGTTGCCCACACCGTTGAGCACGCTCGCCGCGCGCTCCGGGGGCAGGCGGGCCCCCTTGATGTACAGGTCCGCCAAGACCTCGTCGGGCACTTGGATGCCCTTGGCCTTTAGCTTGGTGGCGATCCCATTGAAGCGGTTGCTGTAGTCGCGGATCTCCTCGTACTTGTGCCGGACGCAGGCCGGGCGCACGAAGGTCTCCAGCAGCGCTGGGGTCTCCAGCGCTGCGATCTCGGGAAAGCGCTTCCCGAGGTACTCCAGGAACACCTTCACCGAGTCGTCACCCTTGATGGCGTCCAGGTCGAGCTCCTCGCACGCCTCCTCGGCCTTGCCCTTGAGGCTGGCCGGCAAGGTCGCTCCCTGCTTGGGCGGCTTGACCTCGGTGCCGATCTGCCAGGTGGCGACCTCTCGGCGGTACTTCTTCATGGTCTTGCTCGTGCCATCGAAGACGGGTACGGGGATATTGCCCCCGTTGCTCTTGTCCTCGCCGCTGGCTGCAGCGGCTCCTCCTGTCGCCATGATGGCGACCCCGAATGAGAGGTACAGTCGCAATGACACGAGCCTGTAGTGCTTGCTAAATGACTCTGCAAAGTCGCGCACGTAGCTACCGTGGTCGAGTTGGCTCCTGCTACCAATGCAGACCCAATACTGCGTGAGGGGTCTGAATGCGATGATAACCGCGAGGTTGTTATTGTCAGCAATGACGTAAAAGTATCTGCGAAGATATCAGCAATGATCGGCGATTGATGTTGCTTAGCGGCACCTGCGAGGTGTCTACCGATACGCCCAAGCTCAAGGGCCCTTAAAGGATTGAGCCCAAATAGTTACGAAAGAGCATCTGCTTGCTGGCATGCTATGCTACACTGCTTACAGATCAGCACTGACACGATTTATTTCACAACTTCCAAGGTCTTACTTGCTACTTCTCTTCGTCGGCATCCATCCCACGTTCCCCAATGGCCGAGCCACCCTGCGGCTGCTCCGGCCGGCGCTTCTGGGGCCGCTCCCGCCGCCGCCCGGCCCCGAAAGGCGCCGGGCCCGCGCGCGGCCGCGACGGCCCCAAAAGGCGCGGCTTGCTTTGGGGGGCGCGTCAGGAGGACGGCCGGGGCGGCGCGTCGTCGCCCGCCGCGGGAAGCTTGGCGCTGCTCGAGAGTGAAACCTTGCAGGGTCTCCCGCTGAGACTTCGAAGCTAAGGGCGAGCTGAGTCTCGCGCGCCGTTGCCCTCCTGCTCGCACTCTCCTGCCACTGCCGCCCTCTTCCCCTGCCCCCCCGCGCCCTCGCGAGAGATCTCTTGTGGGGTCGACTGTGAGATCTCGCGACGGGGTCGCCCCATCGCGAGGTCGCATTATCTTATCGACCGCGCAGGACGCCCCCGGCCGCGTCGGGGGGCCCCAGCCACCGATCATTGTCGTTCTAACTATCGATCTTTCGATTTCACGACTGATCCCATGAGCGCGGTCGATCATGCAAGCGATTTCGCTATCGATTTCATTATCGACCTTACAATTGATCTCACGAGCTACCATCGGGGCGCCGCGGCGGGGCACCCGGAACCACCGCCGGGACACCCCGCGCCACCGACGGGGCATTCCGCGCCACTGACGGGGCGCCGACCCGCCGCCGACGGGGCACCCGCGGCCGCCGCGCGCCAAGAGGGGGGGACGGACAGCCGGTCCCACGGCCTTTAGCCACGGCGGCGTCAATCGTTTCGCGCGCCCACGCCGCTTCGCCTTGCCTGCGCGACACCAAACCGAAACCGACAGCCGGGTGGGGCCCCCTCCGTTCCACTGCGATCTCACCCCCAACATCCGATTCGAAGAGACTCTTCGTCCGTTCGATAGTGATATCGATCGTGATATCGATTGTGATATCGATAATGATATCGATCCTGCAATTGGTAGTACTATCCATCGATTGCTGTCGAATACGAGGTCGCATTTATGTGGGGTAAGCTCCATCGCGGATGTGTCGCTTTCATTGCAATCGCCATGATTCATTCTCATCATCGCGGTTGTTGTCAGATGGTTTTCTTCCCCCGAACCCCTTGATCACCCGAGATATGGTCGTATAGGTAAGTTTCTCGCATCGCGGGCCGTGCCCTTTCTTAAAAATATGTTGTTGGTATCCGTGCCCAGAAGCACTAGCTTGCGGCAGTGCTTTGTTGTTGGAGCGTTAGTCTAGCCATCACGTGGCGTTCATGCTCATCGTAGCGTTCCGCGGTAAACCCAGGCGCGGCGGCCGAAGCGGCCAGCAGTTCGGCCCGGATCATCGACGTGCCCTCGAAGTCGAGGGCCGCCTGGAAACAATTCCGCCGGCGGGGGACGCAGACGTCCGCTGGGCGCCAGCCGCTTGCGTCGAGTCCTCCGCCGTCCTCGTCCTCCTCCGCTTCGGGCCGGCCCACCCGCTGCGACGGGGTTGCAGCAAACCTGGGGGGTCGAAGTCGACCCTAGGGAAACCCGCGGCCTACGCGGTGAGGAGGGTATCCTCGCGGAGGGCGCTGTGCCGCTTCACGCGGTCGCCGCTGCAGGCGGACGCCAGCGCGTGGCCGCCGTAGACGTCGAAGACGCCGTTGCAAGCGGGGCAGAAGATCTCCTGGTCTGTCAGGTGCACCCGCATGCGCCTTGGAAGGGCGACATGCGCCAAGCCGTGCGGGAAGCCAGTGCCGACGGCAGCGCAGTGCCGCGCCTGCAGCGAACCGCTGGCGCTGGGCGTCGGAGGAAGAGAAAATACTCATTCTGCTCCCCTTGCTTCGTTTTCCTGTTCGTGGGCCTCCTGGGAGGCCTTCGTCGCCACCGTTGGATTCGCTTCGAAGTTCTTGCCAAAAGCACCCTGGGGGGGGTCTGGGGAGTAGCGGTATGGGTACCTCTTGGTTTCCCCGAGGCGCGCCCGCAAGCGAACAATGCGCCCCGTCGGGGCGACGCCCAGCTGGTCGGAGAGCCCGCGTTGGTCGCCGTGCTGGCCCGCGGCGAGGGCGCCGGGCGTTGTAGCACATCACGGCTGCCCCCAGGCAAGGCCGCGGGCATTGTGATGAGCATCACATCCAGTGGGGGTCAATGCTATTGTAAAACCCAAAGCCGGGTGAGGCACCAGCCTTCAATTTCTACGAGGGAAGATGTTCCAGCCGCCCACGGTGTCGGTTCCAGCCACCAATTTTTACCAAGCGCGAGTGCGAACAAGTCCACTGACTGTGGGGTTTGCGTTTCGGGCCATATTGGAGCCATCCTGGAGGTTATTTGTTAACAAAAATGGGATCCTTAAGTACGTTCCCGTGGGGGCGCCCGAATATTACCTGTCGACAAGGATGGCGGGACGTTGCACTGGTTTATCGCCAGTCGCGCGT